TTTTTTTTTTTTTTTTTCTTACCCAAGAAATCATTGTGACCGACGGTTGACAGTGATCAAACAGTCTACAACTGTCTACATTCATTTCTGTTTGAAGTAATAAAAGAAAAAAAAACAGAGACCTTAATGAAACAAAAAAAAGAAAAAAAAAACAAATTATCAGAAAACAACGATGAGCAGACACCGGAAGCTGACTAACATGAAGAAACAGCAGCAATAAACATGAGGGGAAAAAAAAAAACAGGAAAAAGAGTTTCAATCCTCGGTCTAATAGTTGCACAGCAAAACAGTCAGTGATCTCGATTCACCGATAATCAACTGGCCGATGGATAAATGGCAAAAGGTTTAGTTGAATTTTTTTTTTTCTAACGTTAAAAAAAAAGCAGCAAATTTCTTTTTCTTCTCAACACACCATCGCCATCATCATTCACCACAACGTCTACCACCACTATTACCACTATCACAACCACTACCACCACCACCACCACCACCACCACCACCATCACCACCAACAGCAGCAACAGCAACAACAGCAACACCACCATCACATCACCACTACCACCACCGCCACCACCAAACCATCACCAAACCATCTCAGCAATATTATCATCTAAACTATCAACTAACAGCAGCAACAGTAGCAACAACAGTAGCAACAACAATGAAAACAACAACGACAACAACAAAAACAACAATAGCAAAACATCAAGCAAGCAACAACAGAGAAGATTAAGATGATGAAGAAAAATTGCCGCATTGTTTCAAAACTTCAAAAACTAAACTTTTTTTTTCTTCAACATTTTTAATCTATTGAAATTTAAAAAAAAAAAAAAACTGAAGAAGAAGAAGAAGAGAATAAAAATGTGAAGAAAAAAAAAGCCAATATACTCTTTTCGTTTTCTTACCTTTTCAAATTGTTCTTTCTCTTCTTCTCTTCTCTTTTTACATTTCTTTCACAATTATAATTCCTATAAAAAAATAAATAGAAAAAAAAGCACATTTTTTTGCAAAAATCCCATAACATTAAAAAGATTTTTTTTTTCTCTTGACATAAAGTTACTTACAATATTCGCCTACATTTTGAATAACACATTTTGCATAAAGTCTTTATTAGGTCATTTTACTGTTCAACCGTCATCATCATCAATGCTGTCACTGCTCAGTTTTACCTTCGTTCCTTGTCTCTATCCCTTCTTCTACTCAACCTACCCCAATCTTTTTCCATCATATTTCAAAAGAAAAAAGAAAAAAAAAACATTGTCAGCAACTTCGGTCAACAATGAATGAATGAACAGCAAGTGGTAAGGTCAAACAGAGGAAATGTACGGTACACATACAGTTACGTTGACTATAAGGAATCCATAACAGTCAATGAATCTATTCATTCGCCAAAATAAAAAAAATGTTCATTTATCGCTTCTATTCAAAACAAGTCAGCGAACGATAAAAAAACTGTTGTTTTTTCTCTACGTTTTCAGATCTTTTAAGATATTAAAAAAAAAAAAAGAAAAACTTTAGAACAAACTTGCCCGGTTACATCAAAAATATAAACGAAAAAAAAAATATCTCTTCAAAACAGTTCATCTTTTTCATTGATCACCTTTATTCTGTTGGCACCTCATAATTAATGGTGATTTCTGATAAAGTTCCGTTTCCTTCTCTCCTCACTCCGTAACATTTTTTTCCCTCTCCCTCAACTACAACCGCAGTAAACAGTATATTTTGTTGACGCATATAATTAAAAAATAAAACTGGAACATTTTAACTCTGAATTTTTGCTTCCTCATTCCTCCAATTTCCACAAATTAGTGTGTACAAAATCTGCAAAATATTTGATGCAAAAAAAAAAAAATGGTGTTTATAAAAACAAAATTTTTTGCAATTTGCAAAAAGAAAAAAAGCATATGTTTTATTGGAATACGTCAAACAAAATTAAAGAAGCATTCAAAGTTTGCTAAAGTCTTTTTTTGGAAGATGAGTAGAAAGGAGCGGAGGTGAGAGGAGGGAAGGGAGTGAAAGGAAGCAGAGGACCGCAAGTTAAATCATAAAATCCCTTGCAACTGCACCACATTATATGCCATTTATTAAAGAAAGCTTTCTTAAAAATTTCTGAACCCAAACGTCTTAGCATCAAAAAATTTTCCCTTCTTTTTTTCCTCTCCCAATATTCCGCTTCTTTCCATATTATCGTTGTCTCCTTCTCCTTCTTCTTTTTCCTCTCCAAAAAAAAAAAAAGATTTAGTTAATAAAAAATTTATTTTCCATATTATTTGAAAATTTAGTTTCGGAAAAATTGGAAAAAAAAAAGAAAAACAAACGAAGATTGGGAAGAAATGGCACATCTTTTTCAGAAGAAGGGAAACAAAAAAAAAAAAAAAAAAATTCATTTAACAACTTCCACAACCTCCGTCTCCTTCCTTCTCACCACCACTTTCACTCTCCTTCGCCTCTCCTTCCACTCCTCCGCCCCTCGTCCCTCCTCTGCCAACATTCTTCACCTAAAACCTAATCAAACCTATCTGAGTATTTCTGATCGTATTAAAGCAAAAGTAAAGCCAAAAAAAAGAAAAACATAGGCGAAAAGCAACAACAACAAAAGAAACCACCATCCGTAACTGCTCGTTGCTTTTGTGTTCAAAAGCAAAAAATGCAGATTTTTTTTTTCCCCAAAAAACATAAAATAAACTCAAATTGTTTAGCATTAAAGCTGTATTACAAAGAGTTTATTATTACATTAAACAACAAATAAACAAACAATAATGAACAATGTTTAGCAAAAAAAAACTTGTTCAAATGTTTTAAGAAATTGAAACAAAAACATTGAAGGCTGTAGTGGTAAAAAAAAAAACTGCATAGAAAAAAAAAAATTTTTTTTTTCTCAAACAATTTGACAGCTTCGTTGTCTGTCT